CTGTTTCTTACGATTGAAGGTAGGCGGCGATACGGAACATTGCAGACAATCTGTTTCTTACGATTGAAGATAGGTGGCGATACGAAACATTGCAGGCATATCTGTTTCTTACGATTGAAGGTAGGCGGCGATACGGAACATTGCAGACAATCTGTTTCTTACAATTGAAGGTAGGCGGCGATACGGAACATTGCAGACAATCTGTTTCTTACGATTGAAGGTAGGCGGCGATACGGAACATTGCAGACAATCTGTTTCTTACGATTGAAGGTAGGTGGCGATACGAAACATTGCAGACAATCTGTTTCTTACGATTGAATGTAGGCGGCGATGATGTTACAATAATAGGTTTCTCAAGCTTCATTAAATTAATTTCTAGTGCGTGTTTCTGTTTTTGGAGGTAATATATCTCTATCAGTATAGCGTTTTACTAAGTTGAAATTAAGAAACAAATTTATTCTTATCTATAATAAGTTTGTAGTTTACAGGAGAACTTAATGAAAATTATTGATGAAGGTTTCGTTGTTTTGCTTGGAGACAGACACTTATTTTTTTTTTCTCGGTTTGTAGAGAAGCCTCACCTTATTTTACCCTGCGCATGCTTACAACATAATTGTTAAAATATGACGTACGTTAATTCCTCCTGAATGCGGATGAGTTAAATGTTATACAAAGAAAGTATAAAAATTTATACAAAACGTTAAAATTATATGCACTAAACTTAAGCACAACTTATATAATTACTTGGCTATCGTCTGGACATATATTTTTATTTGTTTACTTGTTGTTAAGCGTAAAACTACGCAATTGGCTGTGCCCACAACGGGTATCTAAACCTGATTTTTAGCGTCGTAAGACTAATTATTTACCAGATGAATTTGCTTGACATAATGAAAGGTCTGTATTAAAACGTAGTCCCCAGTGGCTCAGCGGTAAATCTTCAGGCTTATGACGCTACAAGTGAGGTTTCGATACCCGTGGTGGGCAGAACACACATAGCCCATTGTGTAGATTTGTGCTTAAAAATAACCCAGAGTGAAATGTACTGTATTAAACACATGTAAATTTAACAAAGTAACACTAAGATATTATTTTAAAAGCATCTCTCTCTCTCTACATGTTTTGTTAGTGAATAAATGAACGAAAATTTCTTTATTTTTCACATATGTGGATCTACAGGGTTTCTTTGCTTGTTTTAGCGTAAGCTACACAATGGGACGAATATCCTCTGACCACCGCGGGGAATCGAATCCCGGATTTAACATTGTAATTTCGTAAACTTACTGCTGACCTCCAGGAGGACGATTTACAAGATGGAATCCGCCATTTTTTTACATCAAGATTATGAGATATTATTATAACTAATGAGATAATAATACAATACAATAAGTTTATATGATAGATAATAAACAAACCTGACATTCAAACATAAAACTGGACTAAAATATAAAAAAAAGGAAAAGCTAATTAAAAAAAAAAAACACAGATAATGAAATAATAAACAAATAATTGATAGTTCTTTATATTTTCCATTTCTTCAGTGTTTTTCTAAGCGATCCTAACCCTTTCGCCTCTTCATCTAGTATTTGTTTTGTTTCTTTCCCCAAAATTAGAGCTCCCGCTCAATTTCCCAAATAAAACGTTTTCTCATGCGCATGTTTATTATTGTTTAGCATTATTTTTATAGGTTCGTTGTGAATTGCATTTCGGGTAATGACTTTCTGGATCGATTTCAGACGATCTCCAACCTTTAACTGACAAAGAACGCGAAGCAGCCGTTTCGTTGCTTAGAAGTTGTTACAATACAATTGACTTCTTTTTTTCTCGTTATTCTTCCATAGGAAGATAACGGACCCACTTTCGTGTTTGTGTTTGTTTGAGTGCTGTGCTAGGAATTTATATCAAGAACATTTTCATTTCGAATTGTGAAAATGTAAAGAATAGAATAAACTTGGATCGTTGAATCTGAGGTGCACTAAAACTAGTATTTCTCTTTAATTGGATCGTGGTGGGCATGGCACAGATAGCCCATTGTGTAGTTTGTGCTTAAAAACAACCCAGAGTGAAATGTACTGTATTAAACACATCTAAATTTAACAAAGTAACACCAAGATATTATTTCCATTATTTTAAAAACATCTATTTATATATGCGGACTTACAACGCTGGCCCGGCATGGCCAGGTGGTTAGGGCGCTCGTCTCGCAATCTGCAATGTGACAGTCAATCCCACTATTCGTTGGTAAAAGAGTAACCCAA